CAGAATTCTACACTGTGATAACAGAAAAATTGTAGAATTGTAGAGGCCTCCTCTATAGTAGAATAGCGCAGGCGAGTTTGTTTTTTTTGGCTATTCTCACCCGGTGTGCGTTCACCGATTATAGCCTAGGCCAACCAGTGTAGCGTTCACCCTGAACCACAAAATTCTACACTGTGATAACAGAATTGTAGAATTCTGTGCCGTGAACAAACGTTCCATTACTACTGTTAGCCTGAAAGCATGCAATTTTGTCTGTGGGCAGTGGAGAGAGAGAGAAAAAGAGAGAGAAGAGTAGCGCGAGAACTTCCGGGCAAAATAAAATGGCGACCCGTGTAGTTTGGCTTGATTCGAAAAGTTAAATAGCTGTAGCATCTTTGTAGACGACCAAATTAATTTACTTTTGTGTTTCAACATCATTTTTTAACTTTGTTTTGGTCAATTTGATCGTCCACACCGATAGACAGTACTCAGAAAGAGACAGAGAGAGAGGGAGGGGGGAGAGTAGATCTTGCGAGAACTTCCGGGCAAAACAAAATGGCGACCCACATAGTTCGGCTCAATTCGAAAAGTGAAATAGCCATAGCATCTTTGTAGACGATCAAATTAGCTTACTTTTGTGCTAACGTAATTTTTTCTTGGCTTTTATCAATTTGATCATCCACACCGATAGTAGGGCTGCGTCACGAGCGCGAGAAAGGAACTGAATCGCCACTCTTTCCTGCGGAACGCGATTCACTTCAGCAGAACGCAGAACAGTATCGCCAAACGATTTCCGATTCACTCCCCTGTCGCTGTCACCACCTTGTGGCTTGTTTTAACCTGCTGCTGAGTCGAATCACGAGCGCAAGAACGGAACACTTAGTATGGCTCCCCTTATTTTACAAAAGATGGTATAGTCCAACCCCCCTATTAAAACAAAATGAATGGGGTCCAACCAATAGACAGAAGGAATTTTATGGAGCCATTGTTTTAGCGAATGGTGGGGTTGGGAGGGGGGGGGGGATTTAAGGGGGTCACTAATTGAGGTCAGTTGATAGAGCTGACAAAGGGTGTGGGGCAGAGAGGATGGCGGAACAACAAGAGTGGGACTCGCACTCGCCAAGAGGCGTTGATATGACACTGTTCCGTTTCAGTCAGTGTTCCGCCACAGCTCCACGAGCGCTCACGTTCTCGCGATTCATGAAGCCGACTGAATCGCGAATCGCCACTCTCAAATTTGACGAGCAGGATCCAGCCCTAACCGATAGACAGTATTTCGAAATGAGGAAAAACAGGTCTTGTTTCACACGGGGTGAGAATAGCCAACACTGGCAAGTCTCACCCGGGGTGAGAGGTAGATCGTATTTTTATTCTCACCCCGGGTGAGGATAGCCACTTCCTTCCGAAATCACAAAAGATTTCCCCTACCGGGTCTGTATACTTAGCAATGCCAATCACCCGCTGTGCCTTGGGCCGGAAATCGGCCTCCGCGCGAGGGGTAATTTTTGGGCCGCTCGGAATCAGAAGTGACTCTCTTCTAAGTATAGTTACGGGAAAACTGGTGGATGAAAATAAATGAAACTTGGCAACCAATCAGAGGAAAGGTTAAACTAACAACATGCCAGCGTACAATCCCGAACGATTTCTAGAACCGGAGAAATTGCCGTGTATGTGTGAATTTCCTCTGTGGTTCGAAAACTAAGCAGAGCTGCAGGTTGATCGCCGACCACACAGGCGCCCCACATGTCTGCTTTATTGCTGTAAAATTTCAGATTTCGTGTAGTACATTTTACGTACCAACTTAAAATTACCACTCATCCATTGATAAAACACAGGAGCTGGAAACTAGATCACGCATTCCAAACGCGAGGTGCCGGCATGCAAGGGTCGCGTGATTGCTAGGCGGCATGCTATTGGCTGTCTATAACTAAATAGGTCACCGATAACTTCATCGAAGGTTTTCCCGATAACGTTTTACTGAGTTTTAGAAGGGGTGATCGCGTCGTAGTAAAAACGATGTCACGCAATTCAACAAATTTCACGCAAATATTGGTCTTTAAGATCCAAAGTAATAAAGACATCGAAAAAGTGATAACAGGACTAGATTCTGCACTAAAAATCACATGAAGATGCCGAGTTTCATTCATATACTCCTATTCATTACTGACTTATGAACAGGTCTTCCTCAAAATACATCAAGGCATGTCCCACATTTTGGTGATATTTTCATATATATATGAAAGTCCCCCCAAAATTTTGCAAACAAAAATCCCAATAACTTTTTTATTTATCAATGGATTTTTAAAATTTAAAACCCATAGTTCTTAGAATTTACTCTATTTTCATTTAAGCCCGTTTTTAAGCAATTTGGAGAAAAAATTAATTTTTCATTGTTGTTGCTAGTATACTTCGTGACTTTGTTCTCGGTTACCGGGTCTGTATACACCCCCTTTCATTTAATGGTATTTTTATAGAATCACTTCCATCTCATGACCGCTATCCATGCCGATTTGGCTTTTTTTTTTAAATGCGTGCTTTTGTAGTCAGGAGGGGGGGTCACTCCCTCTTAAACGAACCATTTGCGGTCATATAAAATGCAAAAAGACGCGACGGTATCTTGGCCACTCTCACTTGTCTTGCGACGAAACAAGCCTACACCCCCTTTATGCTCAACGCACATGACCCCGGTTTCATCTGCAATTTTTTGTAGACAATGAAAATAAAATAAAGATAGTTCCCCTGATTGGCTTGCTTGCTAGTCGTGTTTAATAATGTATCCCCCGCTCTCATATTTGCCTTATGATGTAGTTGCGAGCCTTTAACTCACTTGCGACTGGGCCCTTTCACCAGCCACAAGCGTTGAAGACTGGCGTTTTGGGGGGTATTTCAATAAATCACCACAACTCTCAGAATTACCCTATTGTAATCATTTTTTGACACAGTAAAGTAACATTCAAGCTTAATCTAATACAAAAACTAAAGTTGTCTAAGTCTAATACTTTAATTTGTATGATTTTTTAAAAATTGGCATGAATTTGATTTTCTAAAAATTTCCAGAGACGTGACAAGTAGAATGAAATTCACTGCAACAACAAAAATAAAAGTTCAAAGTGTTCTGGTTTGATTTGTATACATGTGCAAGTGTTTGGTGAAAATATAAAAGCTGGTCTGTGCATTGATTCAGACCCATACACTGAATTACATGAGACAGATTACGGCACGACGTTGTGATTTCGTTGCGCGAAAAACAACACCGGTACTAGTGCTAGATCTAGCCCTAGAACTACGACTCAGGCCGTGTTCGGGTACATATCCAGGATCCTAACTATTAGACACATCATATTCTGAGACACTAGAACTAGTAAAAAGCACAGAAGTATAGAAAACGGCGAAATTATGTGATTCTTGTTCATGCGACTTCTTCGACCGTTACTACGACGCGACTGTCGGATTACTATGAGCTGTATAGAAAAAAACAAAGCGCGAGTTTCGGTCTGTTCAACCCCAGTTGGGGTCACTGTCCTTCACCTTCAATAACTTAAAAACTACCGGCCCCAGAGATACGAAACGAAGTCTAAGTAGCTCAGGCTTGGCCAAACAAGGGTACGAGGCGGGTCTCGCGATCCGTGCGTGATTTGTAGAGCGAAAAAAAAATTCCAAAGTTGGTCACGCAGAGCTTGTGAGACCCGACGCGAGCGTCATGGCGGGGGTCACGCAACTGTTGTGTGACCCGTCTGAAGTGAGTTAAAAAACGAAGAATTCATGTGGAGAGAGTTGCACAGCAAAAATCCACAAGACGCGTTTAACAACGTGTAGTTCCACTTGTCACAGTGGCACCCAGCGCCATAAAGTAAGGAAAGTCCTAACTCAGTAATTGCGTAATTAATAACAATTTGCTAATAATAATTGTAATTCGACAAAAAAAGAAAATGAAACATCGGTAGGATGACATATACGCCAATTTGGCCTTCACCTGGAAGTTTCGAGTGTTCATCATGGCGGAATATAAACGAACTTGTAGGAACCGTAGATGGTTAGGATTGCTCAAATTTTTATCAAAATAAATCTGAAGGGAGACAAATCAAACGTCTTTGCGTGTCTTTTCGCATCTTTTCGCATAATTTTAGTATGACCCACCATTTGTGACGTTTTTTAAAGCCCAAATTATTTTCAAGACCCTTAAAAATCCTTAAAGGCTAAAAAAAAGAACACCCTTTATGAGAAGGGAGTGATTCTATAATTTTACCCATTTAATTATCATGGAGAGGAAAAGAAAAACTTTGGCATTCTTTGGTTTTGGTCCCAAGTCCAAGAGTACTGGAATATAGATACTGACTTAAATACTTAATTTGGTATCAATGTCCTGTTCGAAAGAGAGCGAGAGATGCGCTGCTATTTTTCAGTACAAAATAAGCAGTACTTAATATTTTACTTGTTTTTAACAGGCGGGACATGCCCTTCTGTATTTGACCATAATTTCATGTTTTCTTTCACTCTGCATGCATCAGTTATTGGTACGAGCAGTGAAAAGTTATTTTATTATTATTATCGTTTCGGACCAGGCAAAAAGTAATCGGTGGAGCCAAAACCCATATATTCCATAGTTATCTTGGGGGCCAAAACCAGATTATCCCGAAACTGCTACTCTACATTGTCTACATTATTATATTGTAGACTACTTTTTGGTTTAAAGCAGACTCCATTCTGATAATATGATGTTCATTTTGATTTGTTAACCTCTTCACTGCTGTGTGGACATATTCTCTCGCTTGTGTTCCACAAAACTGGTTCTTTATTTTATCTTATCATCTAAAGGGGAAGTTTTTCGAAGTTGCAGTTACGGTACAGCTTCAAGTACATTTTTTTTTCTTAAATTAAGGAAAATATTATTTTACAAATTACGGCTTTGTTTAAATTTTCTTAAATGAACATTTTATTTCGTCTGTGCATATATGTACATAAAGGTGTCTCAGCAGTGAAGGGGGTTAACCTAGTTTACAATGTATTTTGTATCTTTTCAGATATTCAGGTTCTGTCGGTCAAAGTGTCACAAAGCCTTTCAAAAGAAGCGCAATCCCCGTAAAGCACGGTGGACAAAAGCATTCAGAAAAGCTGCTGGAAAAGAACTTACTGTTGACAGTTCTTTGGAATTTGAGAAAAGAAGAAATGTTCCAGTCAAGTATAACAAGGAGTTATGGCAGAACACAGGTTTGTAGCCAATGACACTTTTTTCCCCCTGATACCATTATTAGTCTGGTTTTGAGTGCCATTTTCAGTTTTGCATTCCTTAACTTTGTGGCAAAGTGAGACCCTTTGTTTTGGCAGGCATTTCATTTCCTCTTTTAATGCAAATTAGCACAAAAACTGGCCAATTTAAAAAGAAATTATTTTTTTTAAAGTTTTGCTCTCACCACATACCAAATTCACAATACCCATGCTGGCTGCTCATCCTATCTCTCCTGATCCCAACACATTGCAGACACATTTTGCATGCATGTCCTCAGCGTATGTACATGTATTAATATTATGTGAAAGAAAGCTTTTTTGCTGCATGAAATGGCAGTGTGTCTCTGGTAGGTCAGATTGCAGTGTAAATTGTATAATAATATGTATTTAGTAAGTGAGTTTATTCAGTGTTGAAGGCCATTGGCCCACATCACATCACAAATGATATGCATTAGACGTTTCGTGTAATGATAACGAATGCAGGGGGACTGACGGTCTCTTAGAATAGGGAATAGGACAAAGTTTGTCCAAGCTCAATGAATGTGATTTATTTTCACTGTATAATTTTGTACACAAATATGGAAATGGTAAAATAAATTGTTTGTTTATGCATTTTTTTTTTCAATGGGTTTACAAGTGGGGAATATGATGTCTTGCACATTCTCGGCCTTTTGGCTCAGATCAGTGTAGTATCTGTTCCTGACTTTTCCTCCGGCTTTGTGCCCACTGGTAAGGGGGACGGATACTGCTGAAGCTGATGAGGGACAGAGAAATCTGTCCCTCGGTTATATTCAGTGGATTTTTTAAATATCTTGCCTAGTATTTTTACCCAAAACTTACTGTTTGATATCTGATGTAATGTTTTGAATCTTTCTCATTTTACAGTGAAAGCAATGAAGAGAATTGAAGAAATCAAAGCCAGGCGACAGAATCACTTTATTGCCAACAGGTTTGTTCTGCTCTTGTGTTGTTGGGGGGGGGGGGGGGGGGGGGGGGGTTGTCTCTGGTAATGTGCACTTTTGAATGTGACATCTATGAATTACTGATGGATTGCTCTTTTTTGCTCCATTCTTAATTTCATCTATATTTTTGTGGCATGTGTATTATTTTAGTTTGTTGAAGAATGGTGATTTTATATTAGAAATAATGCGTTGTTGAGAGAATATTGGTATTTTGCCAAATTTTTACAGACTACAGTGTCTCTTCTTCCCTAGTAAGGTGAAAATTATACTGTAGATGTCAGAGGTTGAGGCACCAGTTCTAAACTTTTGAAGTACAGCTGACCTGTTTTTACTACTAGATCACTTATGCAACATTTCACCTCTGTTCCCTCTGCTGATCCATTTACTTGATTCACTTATATTTCGGAATGGGGCAAGCTAAATCTTAACCCACCTTGCTTACTGACTATTATAGTTATAAAAAATGTCCTGGGGTTATCATAAAGTTTTAAATGTGTTTATTTCCATGGTGCTACAGATTAAAGAAGGGCAAGGAGCTGAGAAAGGAGGCAGACAGGAAAGAAGTGGAGAAGAACATTCACCTCATCAAATCTCCTGCAGGTCGGACTTTGTTCTGTAGCTGCATTGCTGTTTGTACTTTTGTTGTAGTTTCAGCCTCATCCTTTACTGAATGACTTGTTTTTCTTTTGAGCTTTGTCAGCTTCTTTCACATCCTCAGTGGATGGTTGGCAGGTGCTATGATGTGGTCTGCTCCTTCTTTCATGTCACACGTCTACCGTCCTTATCTCTCCTCTTTCTTTTTTTTGTGTTCATTACTCTCTTGCAACATCACTAATCTTCGACACTTATATGAACTTATTGCGTTGCAAGTGCCGTAAAACACTCACTCAAACACATATCCTCGTATACTTGTGATAACCCACAGTCTCTTGTTCTACTACTGCCTTGATATTGGTGACTATGGTTGTGCTGAAATCTGAAATTCCTCAATTTTAGAGATGGAATACAGTTGTCTTTATCTTTCTCATTATTTTATCTCTCAAAAAGGAATACAGTAGTCTCCGCCTAAGATCCCACCGCTTACGATCCCGGTTCGCTTAAGATCCCGCTGTTTTAAAGAAAACAGAATTTTTGCTATACAAAAGTCACCCCTAAGATCCCGCTCTGTTTCAGTTTCACTCTGAAGGTCTACATTCGGCTAAGATCCCGCATTTTCTTATCATAATTTGCGGAACAAAAACCCGGGCGGGCACAGCCAATCAACCAAGAGTGAAAAGTTGAGATCAATAAACTGTCAGTCGCGTCAAAGATCAGCCACTATCATGAATGTGATCACATACACGTTGTAAAACTCGATGAAACGGTACAATGCGTGCCCCAGACAGGATCACACCGCGATGTGAACTCTTCCCTGACCATTGCAGCAGTTGTCTCTACTCCCGAATTTGCGAGACAGACTGAATTTTAATTGGTGTGTTTACAATGTAATGGTGTGTAACGACACAGGCGGGGGGACTCAATCAGAGATGGAAAGCTATACATTTTCAACAGGTAAAGGGGAGGGGCAACTGGATAAGCGTAGATCTTGAGACTCATAATAGGATAATAAGTGAAAATGGCATGCCTCATGCCACTATGCACTGAGATAGATCATCAAGGTTAACCACTCTTTGCTCGCCATATGTCATAAACCCACCAAGGGTCAGTTCATTTTAGAGTGGAGGGAGATTATTTTACAGATTCTGAGCCTTACATGGACCGCCATAGATTCTTCCGTGGGTTCATCGGTTAAGATCCCGGTTCGCCTAAGATCCATCTTTTCCTTGCTCCCGAGCATCAGGATCTTAGGCGGAGACTACTGTATGTCATTAAGAAACGATTGTGGACATCTTTTGATGTTAAGGACATTTCTTTCTTTAAACACATTACACCCAAAGGGTCTGGACGGGAAATCCATTCCTAGATCCTAAGCAAGGGGAGGGAACCCACCTCCCGTGAATACAAGCGTTTAAAAAACACATTTTTAAAATACTAAACAAATTCCAAAAATCCTGAAAAAATGAAAGTTAAAAAGAAAAATGAATGTTGTTTCAGAAAAATATAACTTGATGTATGCGCAAACAGTTGGAAATGTTCTAGCAACCTTTGAAGTGTGGGAAACGCGACCGCACTTCGATCGGCTCTAATACTAAAACTGCTGCCCGTATAATTTCGTTTGGGTACCAAACGGAAGAAGAAACATTTTGCAATAACTATGCTAATCTAAATCTCGACCTCGCGAGACTTTGTTTCTAAAGACGCTAGGTCGGCGCGGGCAGTTCCGGGCCAGTTAGGGTGGAGCACGTAAGGAAATTCGCGGGCAAGTTTGGGTATAATGTGTGAAATTTTTAAAAAATTCTATAAGGCTTGCTTTCACCTTTAACTGGTGTCTGGGTTTGTTGGTTTTTGTTTTTTTGTTGTTGTTTTTTTTGTGGGGGGGGGGGGGGTGAGGTTGGTCTCCGCTATTAAAATGAAATGACCATTTTGCATACAGCAGGACCCTGGGGGTTCTTAATCTAAACGTTTTGTACCATATAATCTACTGGCCTCCAGTTCAACATCAGTGCTCATAATTCACTTATTTCCTGATGTGGGGACATGGCGTGCGCTCATATGACCAATATGCAGTTGCTAGCACCGTAAATTACTTACCAAAATTTACAAAAAATACAAATAACAGGGACATGTGATGTAGGCCTACATATTTTTCCGTCTAAATAACAGTCAATGAGGTGGTTTTATTGGGTACACGCTAGCACTCTTTCTTTTTTTAATATTGATTTGCTTGGGTATTTCCTAACCAATAAATGTTGCATTGATTTGAGTTTCTCTTTGGTTTTGCATTGATTTGAGTTTCTTGTTTGTTCACAGCTGGACTCAAACAGAAGAAACAGATGGTGGAAGTGGTCATGGAACGGGATGTGGAGGAAATGGAGGAGAACTAAGCAGCGGATTCGGTCATTTCATCATTCATCATCACCTACTTTCTCTTCATTACCCCCGAAACGGGATTCGACTGGTTCTGCTCATGACATTATTGAAGTGCTTGGAGCAGTGTTGTTTGACGAAGCAAATAAATGCTTGGAACTACATTTTGCTGTCATGAGTTTTTTTGGGTTGAACTTGAATATATGGGAAAAGAGAAAAGTGAATTTATGCCCTCTCATGGATTACGTGCCTTGGCGCTTGCTCATGTTTCTAAACGCACAGCAGCACCAATATCCAGGATCTTTTTTTTTTTTTTTATAAGATGTTTTCTACATCCCCATCGACACAATTTAGATAATTTAGGAGGCCGTCTTCTAACCCCCTCTCTGCTGAGTCTAACCAGGGCTGAGGAGAGATGCTACTTCCCAGCAGAAAGACCAAGATATGCGATAAAAATTTCACCCAACTTGGGCATAAAATAAAACTTCGGTCCCCTGAACAGCAAAGCGCCTAACCGTTACGGCACAGAACCCGATATTCAGGGTCTAAGTGAGAAATTTTTTTGTATGTTTGAGTAGCATTGTGTCACAATAGCAATCATTTAGTTCATTGAAAAAAATGAAACAGGACCCACCAGTGGCATCGCCTTGCCACCCACTGAATGGACACACTAACTGAAATATTTTGATGCACTACTTTAATGTCTTTTCATCATCGTTCTCACATTTCGGAAAACTATTGCTTCTGCACTCCTTGGACTTCACTTTTTCATGAAGTGTAACTTTGAGATTCATGAACAGGAGTTGTTCATCTCAGTGAGTTGGAATACTCAGAAACATCTTCAGAAAGATTTGTTTGAATAACAGAAGCACATCCATGCAAAAACTGCCATAAACGCAGGGGGAAAGCAAGATAGACAGACGAACAAAACAAGGAAATGGTGAAGCATATGTCAGAAAAACCTTCATCGTAATCGCAAATAATTGTGCGCTGGTAGTAAGAGGGCGCCACTGGTAGGTCCTACTTCTTCACTTTTCTTCTGTTGTTTCTGTCTTACTTTTTTGCAAATCTAAACGACCATTTTTGTGTCAATGTCCCTCTCTTTACTCAAAACATACAAACCTACAAAATAATTGTGCTAGTGAGTGGTGGGTGGTTGGCGGGTGCTCTGGTGTGGTCTGCTCCTTCTTTCCTATTTAACATTAATCGTCCTTATCTCTACTACTCCTTTTTCGAGTTTGTTACTCTCTTATAACGCTTTTAAGCTTTGGCACTTATATGACCTTATTGAGTTGCAAGTGTTGTAAAATTCTTACTAAAACTAAAAATAATTGTGCTTGGTTTCAAAGTAATCCATCATGTAAAAGTAAGGTGTTCCGAGGAGTCAGAAGGAATTCTAATGTCAAGAGGGATGAGCTTGGATTCACCACATAAATAAAATTTAAAGAGTAATTAATTACTTCGGGGGGGGGAAAAAAGGTCAAACTTCTGTTTGGTCCTTACAATGTCCTACTTATTAGAGTATGGGCTTTTAAGGTTTTAACGCACCTTTCAACACTGCAAGTTATTTTAAAGGTGAGACCTCCGAATTTAATTCTCAGGGCCATCCATAGCACAGGCCAACACAACACCAACTGAGCTAATGATGTGCCCTTTATTACTGCACTGGTGATGTTTTTATGTCGTACAAAGAAAAGCAAGAAGAAAACAGATTGCTGGACAAAGAGATGGGGCTATAGGGGCCTACATTTTCTTTCCCACAGGTTCAATAGCAATCGTGGGTGGTTGGTGGGTGCTCTGGTGTGGTTTGCGCCTTCTTTCCTATCAAACATCTATTGTCCTGATTTCTCCTCCTCTTTTGTGTTTGTTACTCTCTTGGAACACCTCTTATTTTCAGCACTAATTATATGACCTTATTGCATTGCAAGTGCCTTAAATTTTAAAACTTTTACTAAAAAATATTAAAACAATAGTAATGAAACCAAAACTAATATGACAAACAGTTGCCATGTAACAAATGTCCATGACATATTTTATTCACAAGGCAGAATTCCCAGGATAATAGTGCAGCATACAAATGTCTACGTGTATTAGTATTATAGTACCGTACATAATAAAAAAGTAAAAAGACACTGAAAGCATGCTGGTTAGTCTTCAGATAGCCTTTGCTTCTCATGAAACTCCAAGATTTCAGATTCACACAAGCATCATCAGTTGATAACTTTGGCCTTTTCCTCTTTTTTTTTCACATCCCTCGTGCTAGACTGGTAATAGTAATAGAGTAGGGGGAAAGAAGCAGACTCTCCTAGGATTTTTTTAAAAATGGAAGGCACTGAGTGCACTTGATCACTTGAGACACTATGGCTATTAAAAATAAAAGTAGGGCTGACAGAGTGAAATGCATAATCCCCCCCCCCAAAAAAAAACCTTCATGAATTCCACTCAATTTAGAAACATGTAGCCTACATATGTGCTGATAAATAACATTGTCTTAGAAACTTAAAAATAGAATGCTAGAATTTAGCAAGAGGAAGGGCACAAATTCCACAGGAAAATCATATATGCGGTATATATTATTATAAAAACCTGAAAACAATTGCACTGAGGATTGAAGATCCAACAGTTAACGACATTATCTGAGATCTAGCAAGGGAATATGGACCCAAAAAAATGTTCAAAGACTGAAAATGGTACGAGAGTATAAGCATCCTGTTTACAAACAAATTTCTTCTGTACTGTAAGTGTGTAAGAGAATATAAAGCTTGGGGGGTTGCACCATTTCTCCTTTGCGTAATAATACATACTGATAATCTCAAACAACACATCTTGGTTACTTTCTCTCAGTACACACACTCCCATACTTAGTCAACTTTTACACAGAAATAGGTGTGAAGAAAACTTTAAAGACTACAGTAACAATATTCCTTGGTAAGAATAAATGTGCAATACCAATATAACCATTACATAACATCATGTATTCCTTTGAGTTTGAGGGGTTATTTTACTACCAAATTGAGACAACATTTCTTACAAATAAAAACACAGACAAATACATAGCTATATCACATTTCTCAAAACCCAATATCTTGTAAATGATTTGCTATTATTAGCATAATTATATTATAGTGAGTTACTGTTCAGTAAGTCCATTACAATGACCCAGCACACTTTCCAATAAAATATGGATTTGGGTGTGCCAAGTTGAAAAAGTCTGTCCGTGTGGTTTTATGCACTCCAAATAATTAAGCAAAATTGGATCATTTTTTTGCATAATTTCTGATTATTTTCCTTTATCATTCTTTGTTAAAATAAACAGAATTGCATAATTTCACATTTTTGGGCGCAGACTGCATAATTTGAGAATTTTTCTTGTCTAAAGCGACGGGGACAGAAAAGTCAAATTCATCCACAATCAATTTATTTTTTAAAATGAAATTGTATTTGCTATAAAAGGATTTCTAAATGACAATAAAAAATACCTGTGAAAAGAAAGGTGGACAAAACATCAAATTGATTTGGCTACAGTTACGAGTTACAGTGACAATACATGGTTACATCATGACACCTTCTAGTTGATAAAGTCCCTTGTCCACAATGCAAGGAATCGTACCAGGAAAGGTACAAAGAGGGGAGTCTGCTTACTTAAACCAAACATTTTCTCTAAACTAAACCAACATTGGCAGATTTCGGTATAAACAGCCTCAACTATATATTATATATATTTAAAACTGCAAGCACTATACGGATGTAGATGAAGATAGAGTACCTTACAACTAGAACTTTATGTCATGTACACAGCAGCAACTGAATGAGAGTATTGTAATTTGGTATCAATATGCTGAAAGATACAGACAGATTTGAGAACATCACAAAAAATTGCCCTTCAATAATTTATAATGGACTGAAGTACTTTGTTCACAAGGCTACTCAGCAGAATTTCTAATAAATGAAGTGCAGGATTATCTTTTTTTACTACTAGCTCATTTGACCTCAGCGGTTCTCATCGTCTTCTTTTCCATGGTTTGATCTTGGGGGGGGGGGGGGGGGGTGTTAAGTTTACGTTCACATGACCAGCAATAATTTGCTGTGGTATGGTATCATCATAGTCAAAATTTAATGATAATATCCTTTCAATTTCAAGCGCAGAATAACTCTTCTTGAAGATTTGTCTCTCTCTGCAACAACAGGGTAAAAAAGTACATTTTAAAAGTAAACAAAGCAATTCAAACCTCAATCAAAATCAGATTGAAATGTCAACACAATAGTCATTCCCAGTATGCAGCAAGGAAAATTTCCCCTCCCAGTTTCAAGACACTCAATGCATTGAGCACCAAGTCTAAGAAGTCCAGTCCAGTCACTTGGACCAGTCTGTGCCAGAGTAGCCTGGCAATGCCAGACCAGCCAAAAACTGGTGACTTCCAAGGGGTTTCTCACTCCACTGGCTGCTTGACTAAATCAGGTTCCTTTAGCTGCTGGCATGTAACTACATGTACAATAAAGTGTTAAACTGACAATGCATCTGGTGGAGGCAGGAGGTTGGGGGCGCCACTGGTAGGTCCTACTTCTTTACTTTCCCTGTTATCTCTGTCTGTCAATCTTACTTTTTCCCAGCTTAATGACGACTATTGTGTCGATGTGCTTACCTTTACTCACACTCAAACTCAAAAGCATACAGTCAAGTTGGCTGACACTTATGTCTCGGTGGCATGTCTGTTGCCATCAGATAGGATTGACAGCTGTAAATGATTTTTTACACAACCATTGACACACTTTAGTTCAATGAGAAGACCAGCTGCTATGATCTTGTCTTTCAGTTTCAGGGTCAATCCTGGTGTGGTGGAATACAGCATCCCAAAGAGGTACATGTAAGAAAGACCAAGTTACTCATTTATGTAGACTTCTCCAGGTCAACATGAACTTATGTCCTTTACATGAAAAAGGGAAGAGCCTTACATTACATCACTAACGCCAATCAGGCACAAGATAGAAATGAGAAAAAGTATAAAAAGACATCATCGGTGACATGATTCATTTACCTAAACCAATACTGAGCTATGACAACAAAAATTGTTAGTTCAACCGAAGGCTTTTGAAGAAATAAAACTGCACAGTTAATCATAGAAAAGTTGTTTTTTTTAAATGTGGAACATAACAACAAAACAAAACAGTGATCTCATCTGATAGTATACCATTCAATAGGTATCTGATAAAACAATGACAAAAAAAATAATAGCCTTATAACAAAGCAGAGACACAAGTGTTATCATTGCTAATTCAAAATATGATTTTTTACAGGTGAGTGATCAATGTTGAGTTTAGTTTTAGCAAATGCAGACATCAAATGAAATATCTATGGTCGCTAGCTCTGTCCTCAGAGAAATTCGCGCCCGCAACCCGCAAGTTGCGCGCGCAACTTTTGCCATCAGCGCAACTTTTATCATTTTCGTGAATTCACGAATTTTAGCCAATTTCCCGCAAATTTTGGGAAAATAATAATAAAATTTCATTAAACACTGCGAAATTTTCTTCCACGACTAAAAGTAACAACGCCAAGGGGGACAATTCGCTCCTTTGCACTACGGGGTGCCCGCCGCCGCCCAGTGACCCGGACCGGGTCAGGTCGGGTCGGGATGATCGCCCGCCCGACTCGTCGACTGAAAACAACGAGTCGGGCGCGATCGACTTGTGCCACGATAGCCGCTTTGCACCATCAG